GGGAGGGCTTGTTTCTGGAAGCCTGTGGGTGGGGGACACACGCAGGGTGCCCAGGACCAGCAGGCTTCCTGTGGAGCGACTGACAGCAGGTCGGCTGTAGACAAACTGGCCACTCAGCAGGATCAAGAGGCCACAGGGTCATTCCAGAGATGCTTCTAATTCCCGGTTGCCCGCCGGGTGGGGGAAGGGCAATCACCAGGAGGTCGGCTTTCCCAGCCGGGAAGGGGGCTGGCAATCCCAGTTTATGGAGCGGATTTTTACTGAATTCCTCTCTATTCAGCTTTGAGTTTTGCTCCCCCCACGGTGGGTGCTTCTGAGCCACTTTATATTCTGAGATTAAATCTCCAATCTGCCAGGCAGAGGGCACTGCGGGTAGTGACGGTGGTTGGGGTGGGCAAGGGGACCTGGCAGTTTAACCACCTTGCAGAACTCCTGTTACTGCCCCGGGGGTCCCCTCCACTCCCGCCGTCTGTGGGGTCCGCCCCCCGCCTTTGGGGTGTCGGAATGAACGGCCCAGCTCCCATCCGTGCTCCTCTCTGCAGGTTCTTAAGGCAGTTACCACTCCACGTCCATTTTCCATCACCCCAAATTTCTTTAGGCCTTTTGCCAACTATTATTTCCTTCTGCACGTCTCCACACTATGGATTTACAGTTTTGTTCTGTGTTTTTTTTTTTAAGTTCTTTTGCCATCGCTTTAATGTATTCTCAGAAAGAGCAGGAACACGCGGCCCATCCACGCACCACGCTCGCTGGGTCCACGCGCCGTGCGCCTGAAGCCGGCCAGCCCTTCAAGCCTCACTCACTGGCAGCCCGGCTCCCTCGCCGGCCTCTGGGAGACCCCAAACCTCCCGAACCAGGGACCAACGAGGGACCGACAGCCTCACGGCTGTTTCTGTCTCTTTCCTCAATTCCCTTGTTTTGTTCCTAAGCTGTTCATTTTGAAATAGACTTCTGTAACCATTATGGAGCACATTACCGAAACCAGGAAACGGACGTTGGTACAACAGAGCCGTTTCTTTGAAACTATCACGTGCGCGGATTTGTATAATCCCCACCACAACTGTAACACAGGAGGTTCCGCCAACGCCAACGCCGAGGCC